TACTAAAGTCTCTAAAAGTTGCTGCACAACTTTTGGCCCCATTTTCTTGGATTTGATGACGGAGCGAAATGCATTCAGCTGAATGGACAGATCAAAATCTGATGGTTGAATATCAGATCAAAATCTGTAAATATGCCTTTTTTTCAGCTCCACTAACATTTAATGAAATTTTATTGACTCTAAGCTCCTAAATGCCCATCCTCCAAAGCGACGCTTCCGTCTGTTTCTTTGGTCTTTCAGCATCAGATAAAGAACCAGTTTTCCATCTTTGTTATGAATATTACGTACAATTTAGAACCAGATCTGTTCTACGACAACTGGTTGCTTTGTCTCCGTCTTGGAGCGTCGGCGCTCACTTCCTGTCGTTAAAGTTTCCGTCCAGGTTCCCGTCAGGCTGATGGGTCCGAGCATCTGAAGCGGGGATTTCCAGTTGAACCGGGACGGAGCCGCGCTTTGGAGCTCAGAGGGAAAAGGAAGAAGGCAATTAGGATTCCTGGCGCAGATGGGAGGCTCAAAGCCAAATTGGGCTTACCTATCGACCTGCGCGCGGCTCCACAAGAGCCCGGTGGAAAATAACAAGAGATTAGCAGTGGAAGTGGATGCATTTGGAAATCAGGCGTTGGACGGAGAACTACAAAGGATGGTGAGAAGATAAAAGCAGGTCAGACGGAGATACGGACGCAGAGAGCGATTGAGGGAGGAGGAGAGGAAACGGCTGCTGCCGCTGGAGCAGAAGGATGACAAAGGTTAGAAAAACAGAAACAAGTCAAACCTGGAGGGTTCAAACACCTGGATCAGCTGGGCTGCGTTAAACTCTCTGGACGCGTCATTTCTCCTCTCCCAGAGGTCGGCCGGCGACCTGACCCTTCAGTCTGCTGGAGGCAAAGCATTCAGGTTGAAGCATCAACATGATGCCACCGTTAATCAAGCTAGTTTGTCAGCAGCTGACCAATAAATACTTCAGGACAAACTGTCAGCAGTCACAGTTTGTCCTGAAGTATACGCCCCCTACTGGACAAACTGAACCTCCTGGTTCATCACTGCTGAACCGGAACCGGACCTTCAGGGCAAACGGACTGGAGTCTGGTTACAGTCAGTAGTTTGGCAGCATTTTGGGTTTGTAGAAGGAGCGGCAAATAGTGACAGAGTGACAGATCATGAATGAATGAATGGATGAATGGATATATTGATTCCAGAGGGAAATTCGCTGGTCAGCAGCGATAAGCAGAAAACAGAAAGAGTGTGGTTTGTTGAGTTTTGCTCAAAATGCAGAATAAAATCTCTGAAGTTTAAAATCTCTTCGTGTCTCGTCTAGTTTTATGAGTTTCATACATCGTTACACCACAACCCCTCAGATGACTTTGTTCAGAGCAGTGAACTGTGAAAATGAACTGAGTCATTCTGAATCTGTATGAATTGAACCGGTTTTTCTTCATAGACTTTGCATAAAACTCTGAACTGTTCATTCCTGCCTGCAGATCAAATTTTCTTTCACATAACTTTATAATTACTAAATCAGCAACAGGTTGGATCAGATAAAACAGTTTGTAAACATATAAACAAAGATTTCTGAGGTAAATCAGTTTTCTCAGCTGTCATCCTGACCATGTCATTCCTTCTGCGCTGCACGGCGTCCGTTTGTTTGGCTGCAGACGCGTCTCTGGAGAAGGAGGCGTTCCCACTGCGAGCGACGGAGAGATGGAGAGATTAGATGTGGAGAGGGAAGGAAAACAGCCAGCGGTTACAAAAAGGAAAGATGGAGATAAAAGACAAGAGGAAGGCGTAAAAAATAGTTTGGTCAACTGTGAAGCTGCGAGCGATAAGAGATGAACTAAAAAGAGAGAGATTATAGAGGAAGTGGACAGAGGGATGAACCAGACGCGACAGGAAGAGGACAGAAAGACGGAGTTCATCATGGATGAAAACAGGCAGCAGCTGCTGGAGCCACCGTATTTTAGTGTTAAAAGTTGACAGGAAATTAGAAAAAATTATAAATATTTTACTTTGGAAGAAATGATTAATCTGGAGTCTGAAAAAAGAAAAACTCAAATATACAAAGTAAATGTCAAATGTTGACCCCTCTGTTAAATCCTACATATTTTAAAACCATCTGTGCTGGTCACATTTAAAAGTAAGATAAATTAAGATAAATGTTGCCTGAAATGGGCAACGGTGAGTCAGCATACCTTTATTCTTTACTAAATACTCTTAGGATACAAAACTGAAGATTTTATGTTGGTACATTTCTATTGTTTTTCTAATTGCCATTTTTGTTCAGCATAAATTTGCCGGCTGAGATTGGTTGCTATTTGATCAAGTATTACTCTTGATTACTGTTCCCCTCCTGGCCTGTGGGGGCGCTGCACCAAGAACCACTGAAGGAAACGACACTAAAACCTTTGAAGACACTGAGAGCAACTTCCTGCTTCCCCAGATGAAACAAAATGGAGGCGTCACAGTTTAGTGATGGAGGATTTCTCTTCAGTCTTTGGCTGAAGACCAGGAGCCATTTCTGCTGCTAGCGCTAGGCTAGCATGTTAGCTTTGGTTGCATTTACCCAGAATGCCCTGCACTGTAGTCCACTTCCTGGTTTTGGAGCGCTCTGTGGTCCGCTTGGCGTTCACATTCAAACCAAACCAGACTGAGGTTTGGAGGACCAGAGGTCAGAGGTCATGTAGCATTCACACCTCACCAACTGGACGGTTGGACGGGAGGGAGTCGGGTCGGGACACGGTGGTGCACGGCAGTGTTGTGTGACCGCGTTGATTGTCATGAATTCTTCCCCTTTTTCTCTGACGCTCTGTAATATAGTAAAGTGCCACTAACTGCCTCCATCAAACTGAAGTTTCTGACCTTCACCGATCTGATTGAGTTTCTCCTGTTGTGCAAATCCTCAGAGACCTGCATCTGGGCCTGGTTCTGGTTCTGACCTGAATCAAAGCAATAATTAAAAGTGTAGTCTTGATATTTTTGGCTGTGAGAAGACGTGAAAGCTGCGCTGCTGTCACGTTCAGCAGCAGTAAACATGAGGCTGGTTGATCGGAAAGCTTTTTATTATTCGGCTGTTTAAACCAGAACCAGATGCCCATCTGGCTGCGAACCGATTCACGTCTGATCATTGAGTTTCTCACAGAAACAGCGTCATGTGTGTTTGGAAATCAGGGTGATGAAAGCGGCGCGAGCGAAGCGTGACGCTGCTGATTTATCGCCACGTTGAGAGGAAAACACGCCAGGAATTTCGAGACAGGAGTCGGACCGCTGGTTGGCTTAGCATGGGAATCAGGAGGCACCCGGGCCATTCCGGGACCTCCTGCTGGGCCGGGAGCCGGTCCGGTTCTGGTCAGGCCGGGCCGGATTGGGCCAGGCTGGGTCCCAGTCTCAGCTTGGCTTGTGTTAGAGCTCACATTTTGAAACCTAATATGGCCCTCAATCAGATTCCTAAATGTTATGAAAAGCATGTTGTGTGTGTGTGTGTGTATCTGTGAACCTGGTTTTTATGTCTTTGTGGAGACCCATTGTTTGGTTTTATTGATGGGTTGCGGGGACCACTGCTTCTTGTGGGGACAAATACTGGTCCATGAGGGGAAATGCTGTTTTTTGGTGAGGGTTTAGGTTTAGGCTGTAGAAAATGAATGGAAGTCAATAGAAGCCTCCTCAAGACACGAAAACACGACTGTGTGTGTGTTCTGGTTTCCTCTCAATAAACATCAGACTCTTTTACAGAGAGCCAGTGTGTACACACACACTCACAGGGTGTCGGTTCATGTTGCGGTGTGTCCGTTGCGCCAATGGCGTCCAGGAAAACGTGACAAGCTTTTAATCTGTTGATGGAAGGAGAAGATGACTGTTTCCCTCGTTCACGTCTCCGGGTTTTTGGAAGTTTTGCCCAAAATGTTGTTGCCATCAGAGCAGTTGGAGTGTTTGTGTGCTTTGGCGTCACTCTGTTTGTGTTAGCATGTTAGCGTGCTTCTGTGCATGTGTGTGGGCTGGAACTTTGTGCCGGCCGTTCTCACGCTCATTCCGCTACTGCATTTAGAGAGATGCAGAAAAACACCGGAACATAACCAGAACATAACCAGGCTGATCAGAACCGGACAGGAACCAGAACAGAATCAGCCCGGGGTTTTATGGACATGCTGAAAAATTAATGCCATAAACGTCACTAATGTTCAAATACTCAAGTGTTTATGGGGCCCGATGGTGAAGTTAGAAAGTCAGTTGGTTATTTAGTCATAAGAGAGAAAAATGAGGTACATTCAATTATAAATATCATTAATCTAGCCATGAATGTCACAGTTTCAAACTAAATATGTAGTTAAGTCAGAGCTAGCTCACTAAATATTTAGTTTAAAGCAAAATTTAGTTTAATAACTAAAAAATGTGCTTTTGTGCAGCAAGTTTTTTCTGCCACTATCATTTTAGAAGCATTTGTAGATGTTGCACTTTGTATTGCCTTGTTGCTTAAAATCTGCTGTGTAAATAAAATTACCTTTACCTTCACCAAGAGGTCATGAAAGGTCAATCAGTCCCCACATCCTTCTTCAAATCTTGTTAAAGTTTGATTTGAAGATTTTTTGTGCTGCACAAATTTTGTTTGTGCTGCTATGGGTTTGAAGATATTTATGAAAATTTAAAGGCAAAAAGGTCGACCAACTCTCCCACATTACCCAAATCTAACGTTACATTATGTTTGTGCAGCAATCACATTTTTGATTTCATCCTGCTCTATCAGTCTACACCGATAAAAACTTACCTTTGTCTCAATGATAAAGGGAAGTTTAAGGTTTAAAATTTCACTGTTTTAAACAGACACTGAATTTTCCACCTTTACTTCCTGCATACTTGCACTATACTAAACTGTTTCTTCACATTTAGGTTTCAGTTAAACACATTTCAGAGAAAATGAGAAACATGGATTAAGTTTTAAAACTTAATCCATGTTAAGCAAACACCTGCTTTGCTTCATGTGAGATATATAACCTTCCTGTTTCTCTCTGCAGGGATTTAAACAGAAACAACATCACCAGAATTACGAAAGTGGACTTTTCTGGACTGAAGAACCTCAGGATTCTGTAAGTTTGGTTCTTTTTCTCAGTAACTAAAAATAGAACATTTTTAGTAACTATTTTTCCTGGGAAATGTGATGGCAGATCTGATGTTTTCCACAAAAAAACCTTTGTGATGGATCTATTAAAGAACAATTAAAGAACTTCAAAGGTGCTTAAAGTTCAGTTTGATCTCTAAAAGCTAAATAATCTGGGCAACAATCTAATAATGGGAATAGATTCTTTGAGTGGCTTTGAAGCCAAAGGGAAACGTTGACCTGCAGGAAACAATTATCCCTATTTTATTTTTCAGTCTAAAAGCTTCTCCATTTGGAAGCCATCTTTCATCTTCCTGCTTTAAATCAAACCATTCTTCAGGCAGAAATACGTTTAATAACATTCACATTATATCTTTTGCTGCCAGTTTAATATCCTGAAGCTTCCAGAAATTCAGCTCTGAATAAATCTCCCATAAAAAAAAACATATCCATTCTGCACATTTTCTCTTATTAATTTGTTCTCTTGGGATTTTAAGAAACACAAATTTTACCTGATCCCCTCCATGGTGAAACACAGTGGTGGTAGTATCACGAGCTGGTTTTCCATCCAACCTGCCTGAGTGCAACGAACCCAGAAGATCTGCAACCAGACAACAGGCTGGATTTAAATGCACACCACAGCATTCAGATTTGATTAGGAAAAAACAAAGAAATCATAAAACAAATTCTTTCACAAAAGCTGCTGCATTTCCCTTACAAATGGATGCAAAACTTTTACAACTTTTACATGATTAAAACAGCAGAATGTTGCAATTGTTCTGTTTCCATTAAATAAGAAATTAAATTAAATCTAATGAATAAACATGTTCATTCAAGGTAATCATGTAGGTAATGGCTGTAAACGAGATATTTATAATCATCTGAAGTAAAAAAAATTTCATTACAGTTTTTTCTAAGTACACAAATGTAGATACGACTGAGAAACCAGTTGAAAACCTGAGTTTTTCTAATGTTGTGTTTCCATTAAAGCCACTTTATGTAACTTTTATAAAAATATTTTTTATGCATATTTAAGCTATCTCTATGTTATGATAATGTGATGTGAAGCAGATAATCTCGTTCTCCTCACTAAGCTGCTGAAATCTGAAGAAATGCACCAAAAACAACCAATTAGAGCCAGGAGGCGGGTCTTAGCGCTTTCAATCATCCTCATGTACTCACTGCTAAATGTGCTAACAACTTACCATTACAGGCAAATCGTTTCTCTACCTGCATCAGTGTTTATAACTGGTTTGAGCATGATTGACAGCGCTAAGACCCACCGCCTGCCTCTGATTGGTAGCTTCTGCTTAGCACAGACAGAGCTTTATTTTATTTTTCTTATAATATAATGAAATGTGTAAAAAAAATACTTTTTTAAATAAAAGTTAATTCTGCAGCTTTAGATTTATTTTGTAATTCCAATTTTTGGATTTTATCCTCAGTGGAATCTGGTTTCACTCGGGTTCAGGAGGTGTGAATATTCTGCTTCATGTTTTTATGCCTTCTTGCAACCTGTACTTCCATGCCTCCATGCTGCAGTAATTAAGGCACTGCTATATTTACCTAACGGGCCTCTGCGAGCCTAAAAACCCCAAAAGATCCACGTCTTAACAAGGCTTCCAGGTCCGGAGATGATGCACGTGTCCTGCAAAACTTTTACAAGCTGAGCTAACCTAGCGTAGCAGCAAATAGCATCAGGATGATTTACAACTTTTACACATCTGTTGGCAGTGAAAGGTCACAGGAACAAAGAGTTTAATATCCAGATTTACAGCAGCTTAAGAAAGTATTCACACTCAATGAACTTTTCCATATTTTGTCACATTATAACAACAAATATAGAATACTAAATAAATTAATGTGAAAGATAAAGTGGTTTCCATGGTGATGTAAAAGATACAGGACCGTGATCTGTGAACTAATGCTCTGCTTGAAAATGTCTGTATTCATCGGTTTCCTGTTTTAACTGAGGCACAGTGAAATAACGTGGCTGCTGATTGGTTCTTCATTTTATTTCCTGATCATTGAAACATTTGAACTCAGCAGAACGAGACGCTTATCTGCTGCCCTAATTCACTTCACAGGCTCTCACTGTTTCAGCGCAAACGCCTAAAATGTGTGTGTGTGTGAGTTTGTAATACTTTGTGGGGACCCGTTCCTGACTCATACTACATTATGGGGACCCACCGCTGCTTGTGGGACCGAAACCTGGTCCCCACAAGGGGAAAGGTTGTTTTTGGATCAGGGGTCAGATTTAGGACTTAGGTGTGAATTGAGTTGGTTAGGGTTGGGGTTAGGTGTAGGCTGTTAAGTCAATGGAAAGTCCCCGCAAAGATAGCCATGCAAACATGCATGTGTGTGTGTGTGTGTGTGTTTGCAAACATGCATGTGTGTGTGTGTGTGTGTGTGTGTGTGGTGTGTGTGTGTGCGTGTGTGTGTGTGTGTGTGTGTGCATGCGTGTGTGTGTGTGTGCATGCGTGTGTGTGTGTGTAAGGGCTTTAATAACTATAATCACTGCTGGCTGCATGCGTTCAGTTTTAACCAGAGCGGCAGATAAAAATACACAGAGGAGAGAGACAAGTTCCTCCAAAACGACTATTTCACTTCATTTGATTTTTTTATGTAAAACACAATAAACAGTGTGTGATTTTATTGTGTTGGTGTGGAGAGAGAGGGGCAATCGAGGGGAGTGTGTGGGTGTGTGTTTGTGAGAGGCTAGCGGTGTGTTTCTTGTGGTCAGAAATGAACTGCTGCAACGTTCGCCTCCAATCTGGGAGGAGTTATCCTGGGAAAAACGAGGAACCAAAAATATTCACACCAAGTGAAGATTCAGAGCTAACGATCATTCAGCCAAACAAAAACCGTTCAACAGATAAAAACGAAATCAAGGAGCTTCATCCACCTGTTCTTATTCATATCGTCATCACATAATAACGATTATTCTGGCTGTTAGAAAATAGAAATGACTCAGAAAATAAAATCCAAGGGAAATTAAATTCTTTTATTTGATGTCTGTAAACTTCTGGTTTCAACAGTAATTATTCTAATTATTCAAACACCAAGTCTAATTCAATTTGCATTAATAACCATTAATATTGAGCTTAGACAGGTACAACAGGCAAAAGGGTGCAGGTAGGATAATAAAGTTCAAGCTAGTGGCTTGTTCGTCTTTTCAGCTATGTTAAAGAGGAAACAATCTAACTCAATCAATTTATTGTGTAATAAATTGATTTATTGATCATTGAGACACGAACAAAAAACTGAGCACCAAACTCTGCCAGGAATCGTGTGACAGTGAAACCCAGAGATAAAGACTCGGACTTGGGTTTCATGACAAAACTTTGATCTTTAACCTGAGATGAAATTAGGTACGTTTGTTTTGTTATCCTGGACATCGGTGGGTGGTTTTTAACGTGCCAGCATTAAATCTGAATAAAAATATTTGTGTTGTGAAGTCAGCAACTTTACAAAATAAAAGCATTCTTACTTAATCAGTCACGACTCAGACTGAGAGGAAAACTTCATCTAGTTTTCTATGCTGTGAATAAATGAATTATTTTAGCTTAAAGACGGTGACAGATAAAATGAAATTGATTTGGTGTTTCTGCTCCTCCTCTCATTAATATAAATTAAAAAGAATTTTTCTTGTTTGTTGCTTTCTGGGAATCTCCAGCCCCGTCACGTAGTTGCTGCATTAAAAGGATCCAGCAGTTTCCCATCTGGCTGCAGCTGCTGCTAACGCTACGGTTAGCATAGCATCTCTAGCAGTCTCAAAATCCCAAATTTCTTCCAGACTTGATTCAAAAATCCCAAACAATTTAATAAAAACCGGTGTTTGATCGTGAAAAGCTGGACGGTTGATGTAGTTTCACACACAACGCTGCGCTTTGGTTTCTCTTTTAAAACCAGAACCAGTGGCACATCGGGAATTTAAAAAAAAGTGACCTCCAACAAATCTAACAACTTTAAACAAGAAAAAATGAAGTGTCTGTTAATAAATCCAGCTACTTTTTTCCGTCATTAGAGACTTTCTAGCGTTATGCCTGAGCGTTGAGTTGTACGCCCACACAGTTACCAATAGGAAAACTCAACTGCAGTAGCCACTGTTGAACCACAGAGGGCAGAAGTGAGACAATTTCAGCCCAAATATTGCAGAATTGAACAAATTTACACAAAAATACCCCAACTTGCAACAACATAACGATGGAACCATTAAAGACCAACTTAAACATTTAAAGTGCGAAATCAAGTTAATTTACCCCCGACGGATTGACAGAACTTCTGACCCATTTCAGTTCCTCTGTTTCCTCGTTTTTATCTCCTAAAACATTTCAATTCTGCTCTTTCCTCGTTTTTAGTTCTTATAGGACAGAAATCCTCCACCCTGCCGTCTGCTGAGACGTTCTTTCTGCTCGGTCGGCTCCATCTGGAAAACCTTAGCGGCGCGTCCCACACAGAGCCGGGACAGGAACGCTGGAGATGTTGGTCTGCAGGAACCACATGAAAGCCCTGAGACAAATGGGGGAAATTTGCTCTAAAGAATTGGATGTTAATTATTTGTTTTGGCTGACTAGATTAAAACATTTGTTATGCACAGAGTGTTGGTGGCAGATCTGTTCGCTCCGCTGACTCTCTGTTTACTCAGCCGGTGAAGTGTCTCTGCTGCAGCCAGACGGGACATTTCTCTGCTGAGTGCAATGTGAAAACTAACGGTTCCTTCTCCGGGGGTATGAATACTAATGGTGTCTGTGCCGTTTTGTCTGCTGCAGCCACCTGGAGGACAACCGATCAGCGTCTTGGAGAGAGGAGCCTTCCAGGACCTCAGGCTGCTGGAGAGGCTGTAAGTTTTCACGCCCTGAACTCTTTCTTTTGTTGCTGGGATTTTACTGACACCCTGAAATAAAGAGGACCTGGCAGGACTGTTCTGGAACGGAAAAACCCAGAAGACGCAGCGCCACCATTACTGACTCACAATGAGATGAATAGAAATGCATTCCACACTTTTTATATGTTAAAACATTTTGATAATCAACAATCTGTTTTGTTTCATGCTGCCATCACGATGTTGTTTGAGTTAATGTCACATAAAGGTCGGATTAAAACAGAGAAACGTTTTTTGATGCATTCTCACCAAATGCATTTTGCGCATCAGCTGCGCCTCAGCAATCTAGCGTGGCGCAATTTGAAGAGTGTGGAGTGTTGTGAGTACTTGATGCATCCAGCATGTCTGAGAAATATGCCGGCAACGGAAAACAGCGGCGTCTGGCGCGCCCGCGCAGCGCCTCCACTCAGACTCTGAAAGTAAACCAGAAACACGTTTAGTGTAGAGCAACATGTCAGGCATCTGCATTCAAAGTGCACAGGCTTCAACCTCCAAGCATCAGACGCGTTTTTGATGCTCGTAACAAGTTTGGTGTGAACGCAGCATTTGTAACGATTAGGACTGGGGAAAAAATCATTCCAAATTTAAACTCAACATTTCAACGGTTTTTTTCTCAGAATTTTGTTTCTCAATTTCCAAAGTTTTTTTTTTTTCAGAATTCTATTGATCTCAGAAGATTACATTATTTTATTTTTTTCCCAGTGGCTCTCATCCTTCACTGTAGTTACGTGACACAACAGGAAAAAAGTTTAGGTGATTTGAAAAGTTCTGCAGGGCTCCGTATTCGGTTTCCTGCTCAGCGATTTGCTCTTGGATTTGTTGACATAGCAGATTCAGAGTCACACACACACACAAACACACACACACACAAACACACACACACACACACACACAAACACACACACACACAAACACACACACACCACAAACACACACACACACCACACACACACAGACACACACACACACACACACACACACAGACACACACACACACAGACACACACACACACACACACACACACAGACACACACAGACACACCTGCTGGATGAGGCTGAATCCACGTTTATCACTGTAAAAACTAAACAGTCACATATTTCAGATAGCTTAGTCTGTAGATGTTTTGGTTTTATTTGTAAATGGAGATCAGCTGCTGATCTGAAGATGAGGAGAAATATTTTATACTTTTGGGTCAAAACTACAACAATCAAAGTTTTTTCTGGTTTTAATGTTTAATTGCGCTCAGCTAAGTCTGAATTTAAGAACTGTAAAAAGATGGAGGTTGATATAAACCTCATAAAGATGCTGAAAAGATGGTTTAACTTGAAAGTCAGCAAGAATATTATTTTATTTTTAGGGTTCACCAAGTTGATTTAACAGCAATAGACACATTATTTGTTTTTTAGTGTTGATCGCTCTTTAGTTTTGAGTTGAGTTATAACTTTCTACTGTAATTTAAACCAAATAATTATCTCATAAAAACTGTTTCATCAGCTAAACAACATTTCTGCATTATTTTCATTCACATTGTCAAGTTCAAATAATTACTGGATTTAAGTTCAGCAAGATATAGGAGCTGCTTTTACATCAATAATTCCTTAGTGTTGATTTGACAGATGTACCAGTTCCTCCAGAAGATTAGTTTACTTACAATGAGACATTTTTCATGATAAAAGTGAAATAATATGAACTTTTTTCACAGAGAACTTGCTAAGCCTGGCGGTCAGTTCGCCAGCGGCTGCCATGTTTTTGAGAGTTAAACATATTTAAATGTCAGAGGAAATTTCAAAATATGACTTAGCAGTTATGTGTTATTGGCAATATATTATTAACAAAACCTAAACACCAACTTTAAAAAGGCAAACATAAAAAATACTCTTGAAAGAAATTTGTAAGCCTGGTGGGGAGCAAGTAAAGTCTGGTGGCTGCCAGGCTTATGATATACACTGGAGGAAATCCTGAATCTGCTAGAACTTTTTCATCAACATTACGAAACTGTTTACTTAAAACTTGCTCCTACATCATCCTGAAAGTTACCTGTAAGTTAGATTTGTCATATTTTAAATGTTGTAAGGTATTTGCAGTAGAAACTGGACAGAAATGTTTGTTAATATTTTGTTTTTTAAATTCATGCGGAGTAACTTCTCCCACCAGGTTATCCAGTCAGAAACAGTGAATAAGTCTTTGTTGTTGTCTCTGTTTGGATCGCAGTGAAAGTCCAGGATGATTTTTCTCTCTGTCTCGGAGGTCAGAGGTCTGTGTCTGTGCCTTCTCCGACACTAACTCAACGCCACGACCCTGTGACCTCGTGACCGCCCTGCGTCTCTTTTTCCCATCCACGCCTCATTTCTAAGCCGGGCTGATAATGCGCTCACTCCCTTTGCTCGCATTGTCCTCGTTTATCTTCTGCTCACATGGGAACCTGGAGAAGACGCATCTAACATCTGACATGTTTTATGCTGCAAGAGCCGCAGCTCTCGGATAAAACACTTAAAAAAACTTAATTTGTGGCTAAATTTACTGATTAGAAACTCTTCAGTTCTTCTCTCTGCTGTTTCTCCTGAATCACTTTAACTGTGAGGAAACTGCCAAAAAATGTTTTAAATTTAAACTTTTCGCTCTGGGATAGATTTTATAAATGTGATTTTTGTTTTTCTGTTTTTAGTAAATTCACTAAACATTTGAAACATTTCTCCAGATTGTAGTAGTGAAGTATTTGTGAAACGTTTTGAGGAATACCATTTGGAAAAAGGCTGAAACTTACACTCTATATATACAGTTTCATTTGATACATGATAAATAGTTTCTGTCACTTCAACATAATATCTAGATTAATTACACCCAGATTGGTTTACAAGCCTTTGTTTCTGTTAAACATAATGATTTCCTCATTCCAGCTGAAGAAATATGACATTTAATATCAGATCAATAAAAACTAAACAGATTGTTGCCTTTCTATGCATTTTCCATGATTCTCATCTCCCTTTATTTCTCTATCTGGGATTTCTGTCATTGAGCTAAATTTCAACCAAATTAATCGGTGAACAGGCGGAGAAGTTGTGATTTTCTGCTGTTTTAGCGTTTAAAACTACAGAGTTTGCCTGTGGTTTTAAAAACTAGCGCTCAGTCTGCGTCTGCCACGCCTCCAAATATTTACCAATTAAAGTTGGAACAAGTTGAATGCTAAAAATATTTTACTGCTGGGAAAGACATTGTTTGGCTTATCACGTCTGTTATCACAGTCGAGGATGGTTGTTGACAGCACCTGCTTTTTCCGGTTAGCTTTGTAGCGCAGCTTCTTCTTCAGTAGAGCTAGCTAGGTTAAATGTTAGCGACTGGGTAAAATTCAATCCAATGTTCTCTCAACTCCTGGATGGAGTAAAGTATAGAATACACCCAATGGAAACATTTTTAATTCAAGGATGTGAGTTTAAATCCAGTGCTTCGAAACCAGACAAAACTTTGTCAATGTTCTGCTAATGTCGAAATACACATTTTTGTAGTTGCTGTTTCTAATAAATAAGAAAATAAATTAAAGTCATATTAATAAGTTTATTCAAGCAATAAGTTATTAAAACATAAGTTGCACCCATCATCCTCCTACCATTTCCTGGCATCTTCTTTGTTGTTTCTGCCAGTAGTAACTTTCTGTTGTGGGTCACATGACTCATGTGACTCCATAAAACTTCTCTATTGCTGCTTTGCTAACTGCACTAATTTTTGAAAACCACCTCAAAAAGCTTTTTATTTAAAAAGATGTTTTTCTTAAATTAAGCTAATTAATTTCAAGGATTGCAGTTTTTGGGGTTTTAAGCTGACCGTGCTGACCAGGCAGGATTTCCCAAAAGCTGAGTGTTCATGGTGCATTCAGGTGCATGAGGTAATAACAACTCCTCAGCAATTCAGCTGTTGTTTGTCCTCCATCTTTACTGTCTTACTTTTCTCTGTTTTACCAAATCAGAGTGAACCAAAACAAACCAAACATGAATTATTAGTATTCTTATTTTACTTCATACATAGATTTTTAAAAATAAATTTCTCATCTCAGGCAGCTGATGTAATCTTGTGGTTGTTCTTATTTTTCCCTGAGTTGTATTGGTGTATTTTGGAGCCGTGTGTGTTAAACCTTTCTGCATTTTATCAGTGAAATGCGTAACATAAACTCACATCGCTCACATTCTTATCCTGTCAGGCATTAATAACGTCAGGAAGTTTTTCATCCACTCAACTTTCTTTGGTTTTCATCCAGCTTTTCCCAAAACAAACCAACAGAATGTTTATTCTCAGTCTTATCTGAGGAGGAAGGTGACGATGAGGAGTTTTAAAGCGCTGATTACCTGCAGGTGGCGCTGTGATCTGATTGGTGTGTCCAGGTGTGGTCCACCTGAATCTGGTCCTAACCTCCATGTTGTTTCTGTCCCTCTAGACGCCTGAACAGAAACAAGCTGCAGTTCCTCCCAGAGCTGCTCTTCCAGTCCAACCCCAAATTGGGCCGAGTGTGAGTCCTCTTTATGGTTCCCCCTCTTTATGGTTCCCCTCTTTATGGTTCCCCCTCTTTATCGTTCCCCCTCTTTATGGTTCCCCTCTTTATGGTTCCCCTCTTTATGGTTCCCCTCTTTATGGTTCCCCCTCTTTATGGTTCCCTCTTTATGGTTCCCCTGTTTATGGTTCCCCTCTTTATGGTTCCCCTCTTTATGGTTCCCCCTCTTTATGGTTCACCTCTTTATGGTTCCCCTGTTTATGGTTACCCTCTTTATGGTTCCCCTCTTTATGGTTCCCCCTCTTTATGGTTCACCTCTTTATGGTTCCCCCTCTTTATGTTTCTCCCTCTTTATGTTCCCCCTCCTTATGGTTCCCCTCTTTATGGTTCCCCTGTTTATGGTTTGTGTGAACAAACATGGCCGCCGCGCCGCGCTCCTCTGGCCTGAATGATTCTGTCTGGGAATCTGGAATTTTTCCAGAGAGGTCAAAGTGATGCAGCAAAGCCTCCCACTTCTTCTTCTTCTTCTTCTCTTTTGTTTCTCTCTCTCCATCTCTTTCTTCCATCCACCTGGTTTCTCCTCTGTCAGCTCAGGCTGAAGAACCTATTTACTGGTTTTACTGGTTTCGCAATCTGGATCTCTGTGGTTGTTTTTGTAGTTATTCCTCTGTGTGTGTGTGTGTGTGTGTGTGTGTGTGTGTGTGTGTGTGTGTGTGTGTGTCAACGAGGCTCGATGCTGCTGACAGTTTTAAGAATTATTCGCAGGTATTTATTTATTTGTTTTGTTCATTTTTTAGTATTTTGTTTTTTTAATTGACTAACTGATACATTTATTTTTATTATGCTTTTGATTTTGTATCCGTTAATTAAGTTTTCTTTTTTATGTAGTTTTTTTTAAGTTTACTTATTTGTTTTTTATAGTTATTTTTTTCATCAAAATTGATTTTGTTTATTTATTCAGTGATTATTTTTATTCAGATAGAGAAATAGGAACTCATAATTCTGAAGAGTAAATATTTTCAACTTTTCAACAGTAACCGGTTTCTGATTTTAGAGATTATGTCATCGATGACATCACACTTTCACTTACAAACATGCTGGTTTCTTAATAAAATCAACCTAAAGTAAAACTTCTCTGACCTTTTTTCACTCATTATGTTTGAATTAATTAAATATAATTTTGCAGCTATAAAGTAGGTTTACTGTTAGTATTTACTGGAATAAATTAGAATAATTTATGCTGCCGGTGTGTTTAGGTTGGTTTATTAATCTCTGAGATTATGAGCTTAATCTGTGGGATGGGTGAAGATGTCTCTGAAGCCTCCAGCTGGTTGAACCCAGTGAACCTGGACCGCCGGTGTCTCTGCAGCGCCCCCTGCGTGCGGCGCGGTGCTCTGCAGAAACAATGCTGCTGCGTTGTTCTTCCATAAAACCTGAAACTGCTCTCTGTCGTTCGGATTTTCCTCCTTTTTAGCTCGGATCTCCACGGACGGTTCAGGAGAACGGAAAGCGATGAATGCGATCCAAACTTAACATCATAAATCTCATGTTCTTTACATCCCGACGTTCCCATCAGCAGAATTTAAATTACACTCTGGACTTTCTTCTCCATCACTTTCACTGATTTTCTCTCCTAAAACTTGACAGTTTTTCCTCTTTTGCTCAGGAAGAGGTGATAATAGGTGTAAAACAGAACTTTGTGTGAAGCTGAAGGACGTGAAACAGGGATGGGGCTGCTGCTGGCTTTCTGCTTTGGATTTGCAGCCTTCCTCCCTGTCAGCCTCGGTTAGATATTAAATGATGGTAGTGTGATAGGAATTACCTCTTAACCCTCCTATTACAGCCGTGTGGTCTGAGGTTTGGAGAGGAAAGGAGCTGGAGCGCCGACCAGGGAAAGAAAAGCAGGAGGAGGGGCCGCCATGTTTCTGGCTGCCTTACCCCTTTATGAACTTTCATTTTTCTGCTTGGACAAAGCAACACATGAAGCATGAAGACATGAAAACTTCCCACTTTAATGGAAAACATGACTTCAGGATGGAACCTGGAGTTCTTCCAGGTTCTAGCTAAAGAACCCAGAACCAGGAACCACTGCAGTGTGTGGTTGCTTCCCCTCAGAGAGCGCCGTCTCTTTAAGAGTCCTCAAGCCTGAGTTACACCAGCACTTTTAAGAGGTTCCTTTAATCCAACTCCAGTCCGATTCCCTAGCGAGTCCTTTCCGGTTGGTCAGGTGTGAATGCTAATTGACCTCTGACCTCTGGTCCTCCAAACCTCAGTCTGGGTTTGGTTGAAGTGAACTTGAGTTCGGTTTGACCGCTCCAAAACCAGGAAGTGGACTAAAGTGCAGGGCATTCTGGGTAAATACACCAAAGCTAACATGTTAGCCTAGCGCTAGCAGCAGAAATGGCTCCTGGTCTTCAGCAAAAGACTAAAGAGAAATCCTCCATCACTAAACTCTGACGCCTCCATCTTGTTTCATCTGGTGAAACAGGAAGTTGCTCTCAGTGTCTTCAGAGGTTTTAGTGTCGTTTCCTGCAGTGGTTGTTGGTGCAGCGCCCCCACAGGCCAGGAGGGGAACAGGCTGGTTGGACGTGGAGCAGATGATGGAGTTCTGGTTCCAGTAGAACCGGGTCGATTGGACCATCAGGAAGGGAAACATCCTTAGACTCTCAGTGAACTTGAACTTTGACTAGGACGTTTCCACTGAGCGCTGCATGAGGCCTGGTGTAAACACAGAGCGTTGTTTGGATATTAACCTTGAATTGGTGCTTCTGGGAGCTTGAGAGACGCTGTCCTCACCACCTGTCTCCAGTCCAACAACGACCTGGACCGGACCTGGACCCGGACCGGACCTGGACCCAGACCCGGACCAGACCTGGACCGGAACCGGACCGGACCTGGACCAATCCCGTCCCGCTGCGTCTCCTCTGTAGCTGCATGTTGGTGCAGGCGGAGCTGCGCTGGGCTGCTGCCAGCTCCTCTCATGGAGCAACTTGGTTCTCCTCGGGTTACGTGTGATTGGTCGGTGAGGGGCCCAGAGGGACGGGAAGCCTGGGGCCGGATCAGACTCTGGACATGAAATACTTTTCTAATTACACCGAAATGATGAATATTCTGTAACATAGGCAGTGATTTGGTCCTTATAGCCGCACAAAATGAGATGTTTTAACATAAACATGTTCTTCTGTGGTGGAGGTGACCTTTTTACCTCGACTATATGTGGAGGAAAAATGACTAATCTAATCTGCTCTGCTGCAAAAAGATTAAACTTTCCCCTTATAAAGACTAAAACAAGCAATCTGCAGAAGCGTTGATCGTCTGACCCTGAAACTTTTATCAGGTTGGATGGAAAAGATCAAATGTTGTCAAACTCGTTTCCATTTTGGGTGAATGAATTAAAGGGCCGGTAGGGCCCTTAATTAATCGGATAGAAAACTTTGATCTGTAAAAGTAATGTGAAATAAATAATTGTATTCCAATTACTAATTGGATAACAAAAGGGTGATGAATATCGCTCTTCTATTCTTAACCAGATGAGCGATTTGATTCCTTTTAACGATTCTTTGCTGTGAACTGCGGGTCTCGAGTTTCACAGTGAGAGCTGTTTGTTTTTCGAGATATATTCTCAGCTCGCACATCAACAGCTATTGTGTTTTTATTTAATTTAAAACGATTTAATAGCCGATTAAATGCAATAGATAAATACATAGTTGATAGAAATAAGTGGATAATTTTTATATTTAATGGCGCAGAAGAGGATTTCTGTGTCTGCCAAAACAACTCAAGTTTTTTTTTCTTTTATTATCCTTCTGTTATTTTAGGGCTAAATTACAAATAGCCCTAAAATGTTATTGATGCAAACAGAACTTGGAGTAAATAAACAGCTGCACACTTTCACAATCTGTAAATGTCAAACACTCCCAAGTTTTGTTTATGGTTAAAAAAATCTTTTGGCTAAATTTACATGTTGGCCAAATTATTTTGAAATTGTTTCCAAAATTGATAATTTGGAAAATGTTTGTTTTCTTTTAATAAATCTGGAGGTCTTTTTATGTTCTGGATCTTTAATGACAAAAACACAAAGTGTTACCAAGTCTGGAGCCAGTACCTTTAAAAAAGGCAAATCATTTCACTCACAGCAAGATGTTTCTCCTGTAAGGAAAACAATCTGCCAGCGGAGATGTCGGTTCTTCACCAATATTATAAAAGCTCCTGAATAGTTACGTGGAAGATAGTTTTGCCTTATTTTAAGTGAACCAAGATCAAAACTGGACAGAAATACTTGGTAAGATTTTATATTTTGTTTACAGATTTTATTAAAAATCATTCAGCAGGTAAAACTAAAACAGAAAAACCGATTTTTGGATTTTTAATTTGCAGGCTTTTGTGGCCTGTAAACTTTTTTCGGGTAAAAGTTTGAAACGGCCCTCGGATGTTTGCTTCTGCTGTGCGTTTTGATATGTACTAAAATATACTTGGTGTTTTTACTATCAAAATAGACTTTGTGTGACTTAAACCCAATAACAACCAGGCAGTTAGAGTTTGCATATGGAGGCTTTTCATTTAGTCCAATAAATTCAAATCTTTTTACAACTGAAAATGTTTGGAACAAATCAAAGGAACCATGTGTTTGCTTTTTATTTAATAATAGATATGATCAGTGACTTTTACTCATAAACAGATTTTGTTGAAGCCAAACTTGCTTTTAATGAATTCATTAAATCTGTTTAAAAATAGTACGTGTTTATAGGGGGAGGTTTGTTTTATTGCTAAGAATAGAGGGTTTTTTCAGTTAAACCCAGAATAAATTACAAACTGGATGCTTTTCTCTTAACAAGGCAAATCACAAAAGTTTCAATCCACGTACTCTTCCTTTTCCCTCAAAAATGTGTTTTGTCAAATTAAAATAGCAAAATGTTTAGTTTACTGGCCAAGAGGTTTAAAAAGAATCATTTTAACTTTGAAAAAACTAAAGTGAGTGTAATGTGCATGTTTTGCCCCACCTGGCAGAACGTTTGGAC